TTTACAACCATTTGACTAAAATAAGACATTGTATCCCTTATCACATAATTGAATAATACTAAGAAGTTTATTCTTTAACCCCATTCACATATAAAACATTTTCAATAAGAATGGAAGAGTTGTGACCAATAGAACCAATTCCTTCAATGTAACCTTTTGAGTTGTCACTAAAGGTTACTACTCCTCCACTTTTAGCATTAAGCTCTAAGAACCGGCTCTTATCACTGGTTATGTGTCTTGAGCATTCACTATCAAGGTACCATGAGTTTGAACTTTTGTTTGTTCCTTGTAGCAATGCTCCTCCACCTACAAACATAGATCAAGTTTTTATTTTGGTACCCAGATTTTTTGGGTCCATGGGCATTAGTTCCCAATAATCTAGTCCCTTTAGGTATCCATTTTTCTAGGATACCCTTGTCTTTAGTAGTAACGAGTCATTTAGGGACCCATATACTTCTAACAACTTTCCCATTTGAGCTTCTTTGGGGGCCTCTATGATTGTATGGTCTAAAGCTATTTCTAACATAGTTGGATTTAGAATTGTGTCCTTTTTTCAAAATGATTTGTTCCAACTTTTTAAAAAGAAGCTTTAAGATCATCAAGTTTCTTTTGATGATCATCATGAACCTTTGAAAGTAGGTTGTGCAAGTCATGATTTTTCTTTTCAAACTCTTCTAGTTTGACTTGTATATTCTTGACCTTACTTTCAAGTTCATTGTTGGTCTTGGATAAGAGATCATTTTCATTTTTAAAAGTTTGAAATATTCTTCTTATGTTTTGAAAGTATGATCTCAAATTCCGAGGCCAACTAATCATAAGCCTCTTGCAACTCATCAAATGAATATTCATTTAATGTAGATGAGTTAGAGGTTACCTTAGATTCTCCCTCAATGGCCATGAGACACAAGTTGGCTACCTCTTTCTCCTATTCATTGAAAGACTCATCATCACTCCATGTAGCTACATGTGCCTTGTGTTTCTTGTTGGAGGATCCCTTCTTCTTTAATTGTAAGCATTCAAATTTAACATGCCCCGACTTTTTGTACTAATAGAAAATTATAAGGTCCTTCTCCTTGGATTTATTCTTGAAGCTTTATTTTCTTTGGAGTCTTCTTCCTTTGTTGGACTTCATGAATCTCTTGAATCTTTTGGCAAACATTGTCATTTCTTCATCCTTATCTTCATCATTTGTGTCACTCTCTTCTTGGGTGGATTTGAGAGCAACACCAATGTTTTTCTTCTTTTCCATTTTCTTCATCTTTCTTTTCTTGATCTTCTTCTTCCTTCACCATCATTTCATGAGTAAGCAATGATCCAATGAGGTCATCTAAGGTGAGAGTCTTTATATTATTTGCTTCATCTATGGTGGTCTTCTCGGATTGGCATGACTTGAAGACTATAAATCATCTTTCTAACGAGCTTCTCATTAGGACTATCTTCTCCAAAGCCTTTGAGATTATTGATAATAACACAAAATCGATCGATCATGGATTTAATGTCTTCATCCGGTCTCATCTTGAAGTTTTTTGTAACTATGATTGAGAAGACTAATTTTAGTTTCTCTTACCTCATTTGTTACTTCATGAGTAACTTCATGTTTATCCCATATCCCCTTGGCATTGTAACAAGATGCTACTCTCCTATATTCATCGAGGTTAAGTGCACAAAATAGAATGTGCATTGCCTTTGCATTGAGTTGGAGCAATTTCTTTTCTTATTCACTCCACATCTCCGTTTCTCTAGTTGGAGTAGAGTGAACTTTCAACATGATGCTCCATGCTCCCAAATCACTTTCTTGAATAAAGAGTTTCATCATATTCTTCCAATAGGCATAGTTGGCTCTATTGAAGTATGGAAGCTTGTGGATGGGTTGAGAGTCACTAACAATGTCGAAATTTGATGTAGATGTCATAGATGACTTAGATGACGATTGAACTCCTTTAGGATATTCTCAAGAGGTGATTAAACCTTTCAATGCTTCTAGCTCTGATACCGATTATTGAGTCAATCGAATGGATGAAATAGCCAAGTGGTGGTGAATTGACTATTAAAAATTTTGGTGGAAGCTTGAGATAAAAATATAAAAATTAAACACAAGAATTTAGAGTGGTTCGACTTTATCAACCAAAATCTACATCCACTACCTTAGCTATCCACCCTAAGGATTTCCACAAATTCACTATTTTTCATCTACCTTTGAGGATAAGGTATAACCTTACAATTCTATCAGGAATTATACCACAAATTCTTGGGACATTCTCTCAAAGAGAAAATCACAAATTGCAAACTTATAAAATCCTCACTTGGAATGTGTTTGCACAATTCAAGAACAAATAAGAACACTTGAGAAATGAATACAAATGAGTGAAAGAAGTGTTCTTTGAAAGCAAAAGGAATATTGATAATGTCTAGAAGCTTGTAGTATCGATACTCGGTCTCTCAGTATCGATAGTCCTTGCATTAAATACAAAAATTGGACCGTTGGGAAACTCTAATATTGATACTGTCACAATGGTATCGATACTACTATATTCAGTAGTATCGATATTGTATATAATATCAGTACCATTTTAGTATGTTGGAATTTTGACGGATTCAAAACCAAAAGGTAGTATAGGTACCACCACTAAGAGTATCAGTACTACTATATTAAGTAGTATCGTTATTGTATATAGTATCGGTCCCATTTTAATATTCTATTTTGATACACTTGTATACAGTATCGATACTGCCTTAGTAATATCAGTACTACTTCATCATTTTGGGCTTCAACATCGATATTTGTATCGATACTTCTTGAACAATATCGATATTGTTCTAGTAGTATCGGTACTATTATGGTTAAAAATTATTTTTGACTCGATTAATGTTCGAAATCCGTATAAAAATTATTTCAAAAATATTTTTTCAGTATATGACTCAATTTTTCAATAGAGTGCGAGTAAAATTAACCTTTTTTAACTTTAAAGAATAATTTATATATTTGAATGACTGAATCAAATATAATATTAAAATTTGTAAAAAAATATTTAACAATTTTTTGTATATAAAAATATCAAAGTGTTTTCAACACAATAACTTGTACGACTGATGTGGCACGAGAGAATAAAGGGGGTCAAATCACGAGCGTATGGAGGTTTGAGAGATCATCGAAGGGTGCATGGAGGGACTTAAGTGTCTGCGCGTGCATCAGATGCATGGAAAATCAACGGTTAGTGCTCATGATGGCATTTCGCTCGTTGGATCCCATCAGATCTAACCATTGAGGCTCCTCGACGGTGGTGGAGATGAAAGCCCTTAAGATTAGGGTTGAAATTGAGCCATTAAATCATCCCAAATTCAACGGCTAGATGCACAACGGCTGAAATCGTAAGGGTGAAACCTTAATGTTTCATATTTGGACCTTTGTATCCATTTGATCCAACGGTTGGAACTTCTGGCGGCGCATAAGAAAATTTTATGGTAAAATCCTAAATATGGTGTCTCTTCTAAACCATTAGATTTCCATTTAATCCGACGGTTGGTTATGAGCATGGACCACTCGAGCAGCTAAGGTTTCTTCATTTTTGGACTTGCGGGCTTCTTCACTAGTGGGCCTCTAAATCTAGGTCACTTGTATTTACTTGTAATGTTTGGGCCCGAAAGAAATTGTAAAATAGGGGACAAATACTTTTATTTTTAGGATCTACGACATTTTCTACAGTGAATGAAACTTGTCACGTCGAGGTTACGAGTTCCAATAAAAATATTTTTTATTCAAACTTTTTATGATGTGATAAATTTTAATAAAAAATTATATTTTATTGAATAAAAATATTTTTTATTGTGAAAAGTTTCATGAACACTGTAGAAAATATCGTAGATACCAATATAAACTTCTACTTAACTTATTTTGTCAAATAATTGACCGGTTTACCCTATTGGAGCAAAAAAAACCCTTATTTGTGTATCTTTAGGCTGTAAACAAATATTAATAATAAATGTTAGTCAATTTTATTTAAAATATAGCCTGTATATGCATTTAATCTGGGTCATCTAATAAATATTTGGACCTACATATGACATAATTATATTTACAAGACTATAATATATATACACACACATAAAATATATGCATATACACGCACATAATACATATATACATACACGCATATTCTTAAAAATATTAAACAACACACGCACGAATTAACTTACCTCGGTGGTTATAGGAATCGTTGTTATTTCTAGAGGTCACGAGTTTGAACACCAACGACTACAGCAGAGTAATTAAGCATTTGTGATCAAATGATTGAGAATATTTAAAACATATGCTACTTTGTATTCACCGTAGCTTAATCAAAAACAAAATTATTAAACGACACATTACCCCTAGTCCAAATTAATCAAAGAAAAATAATTAAATATAAATCAAATTAAACTCAATTAGAACTCCGGACAAATCCTACATCAGAATCACCAAAGAAGAGAACCCTGTCTTCATCGATTGATACCATTGTAACCAGTCATATGTGCCAGCTGTTGAGGTCACTGTTGCTGCTGTCAAGGGAGTCAATCAGGCTTGGGCTGGGTTAATGAACCAATTTGGGGCTGTTGGCTAATTTGGGGTTGTTGACTAGTTTGGGAGAATCAATTACTATTTCGGATAACTGAAAAGTACTGAGCTGACCGATGAGCCGATGCTTGAACCTAAAAGATCCCTCAAAATCTCTGTTTTGAAAATCGAATCGGTTAATTCAATCGAGAATCGTTTCTTAGTCCGGTTCAATCTAAACCGGTTAAACCGTTATTAGTGAACAAGCCAGAACCGCTGAACCGTTCGAATCGGACTGGTTGAAAATCGGAAAAAATCGAGATTTTTTTTTTAAATTAAACCAAACAACGTCGTTTGTTAAACGAGCCAAGTCGAACTCAAGTATTGCTGAGCTCGACTCGAACTTGAAAACTTTAAAAGTAAACTCAATTCAACTCAAACTCACAAGCTAAAAATTATCAAGTTCAACTCAAACTCGAAATATAATATTGAAACTTGAACTCAAAAAGGCTTGAACTCAAAAAAAATTAGAAGCTCGATTGAAGCCTAAAATTCGAGCTTGATTGAAGTGAAAGAATAGTTCACTCAATGCTCACCAAAAGGCTCCATGATTTTGAATGCCAAATTACCTCTATTATTTATAGAAGTTAGTTGTGATGCGCTTCTATGTTTCTTAGCAATGTGAGATTGTTTTGTTCTCATATATTTTTACTCTTTAGACTTTTGGGATGCTCTTCTATGTTTCTTAGCCATATGAGATCATTTTTAAAAAAAATAAATCAAACAATATCATTTTGTTATGCTTTTTTAACCCCAAAATTATTTTTTTAATTATAGTTATATAATTATATTTATTATTTAATATGTTTTACCTTAAATATTATGTTGTAGTTAATTTGAATCATTTTGTTTCACTTGATTTTATGGTTTTTAACTTATATATGTTATGACTTGCTTTGAATATGACTTGTGATATAAAAAATTATTTTTTATTAAATATTTTTGGTATTTTTATTTAATTTTTTAAATAATTATGACGTCGTCCGGTTCTTTCGACCGGTCGTACCGGTTCGACCGGTTGAACCAGTGAACCGGTAGCATGACCGGTTCACTAACCGATCCGGTTCTGAAAACCATGCTCAAAATTAAGGTTTGACACAAATGAAGACACTCACTTTTTTGGACACTTAACCCCAAATATTTATATATAAAAGATACCAAAATAATAGTATTTGTATTTTAAAATCAACACATTGAAGTCCTTTTATTTTGTAAATTGAATACACATAAATATTCATGTATAAAAAATTCATCGCAAATTTTAATCTAAAATAATTATAGGACAAAATATTCATAAATATGAATACTTACGCACACTTAAAATAAATCACTTAAATCTTGACCTGATATTCAATTTTTTTTTTCAAAATATTCATTTTGATGATCAAAATTATTATGAGATACTCGATATAAAAATAATTAGTAATAATAGTCGATAACATGTTCAACTAAATGATTTCATAGAAAATCAATCGAACCAAGTAGTCTCTATGGTAAAGAAATTGTTATTATTCTTAAGGATCCGGGTTTGAGCACCATAGATGCCAGGGGTGTTAACGATCAATATCGAAAGATTGAGAGTTTATCTTTGAATATATATTGTCTTGTATTTATCCGAGATTAATAAAAAAAAAATTGAAACCAATTAATATCAAACAAAATAATAATTAACTGAATAGAGTTGGTTTTATTTATTTGTTTGTTAGATTCCTTCAGTTTGTTAGCATAAAACAGAAATATGTTTACATGTGATTTGGGCTATAAAAGCCATACTCATGTATTGGGTTTACCTTTTCAATAGTCTTTTCATTAATAAAAATTTAAAAATATTAGCATTACTTTACTTTTAGTTCTTTTCTATATTCAGTCGTCTATCTCTTGCCTTGTTCCCTCTTTGTTCACCGGTACATTTCCGGCCACTATGGCCGCTTTCTCATATTCTGAAAGATCGTGTTAATCTCAGTGAACAACGTCCATTTTGAGCGTTACACCAATCATAACGATTTTACTCCTAAGATACATGATCAAAACTTTATTTTAATTTTACTAATTTAGTTCTAATTAATGCTAGCATTAAATTTTGAAGTAATACTATTTGCAACAAAACTCAGCTGTTTTGGCACATTCTGTAATTTTGATGAATCGAGGCAATGCAGCCACTCAACTTGTGAGTTATTTATTGTCCCTTTGCTTCCCCTTTGGGTGGGTTCATTGTACATTTCTTCTAATAATGCTTGGAAATTCAAACAACTGATGTAAATAGAACACAAATTAGCACTTCCTTTTCCTTTTTTGTTCATGCCAATTAGGGTTGTAAAATCGGGTAATCGTTCAGGTTTCAGTCAGATTCTGCCAGGTCGGGTAAAATCGGATACAAGTCAAGTCAGGTAAATTTGATGCTTCGACTCGGATCAGGTTGGGTCCAGGTCAAATTAGGTCGGGCCATTTTCAGGTTGATTTAACACCAGATACAGATCGGGTTCAGTTCGATGCCAGTTCAGGTCAAAACAGTTTAGGTCCGGAGCAGTTAAAAAGCATGTTAATTCAGGTTGGATGGACTTCAAGCGGATCTCGATCAGATCGGGTCACATCATTGGCAAATAAAATTCAGGTTGGATCTCTATCAGATACGGATTGAGTTCAAACCTGGTTAATTTTTTTTGGATTAATTATTTTCGTCTTTCGCGAACGTTGAATTTCAATTTGTAATTGTATATGATTTAGAGTAAATTACTAAGAATATAATAATCATGGTTCAATTTTATGAAAAATACAAATTTAAAAATTAAATTGAACAAATATGAAATTACAAATAAAAAATTAAATAAATTAAAAACACACATTGATGAGGGATCAAATCGAAATAATTTTAAATTGTGAGGTTGAAATTAATACAAAAAAATACTAAATTATACCCATTTAAAAGTTATGGGCCAATTAAAAAATAAAAATAAGTAATAAGTATGGGTCAATTTTAGATGCAAATAAAATTTGGAGGACTAAATTGAACAAATATGAAATTACAAATAAAAATTTAAATAAATTAAACAACACACATTGATGAGGGATCAAATCAAAATAATTTTAAATTGTGAGGTTGAAATTAATACAAAAAAGTACTAAATTATACCCATTTAAAAAGTTACGAGCCAATTAAAAAATAGAAATAAGTAACAAGTATGGGTATATTTCAGATGCAAATAAAATTTGGAGCACTAAATTGAACAAATATGAAATTAAAAATAAAAATTTAAATAAATTAAACAACACACATTGATGGGGGATCAAATCGATTGAGGTTGAAATTAATACAAAAAAGTACTAAATTATACACATTTAAAAAGTTATGGGCCAATTAAAAAATAGAAATAAGTAATAAGTATGGGTCAATTTTAGATGCAAATAAAATTTGGTGGACTAAATTGAATAAATATGAAATTACAAATAAAAATTTAAATAAATTAAACAACACAAAGGGATCAAATATGAAAAATATTATAAAATGGACTAAATTGCATTCATTTCAAAAGTTGAGAAAAAATTAAAACAACTAATATATATATAATATAAACTATATAGTTTATATATATGTTATGTATAAACTATATATACCATGTATAAACTATAATACTATATAGGTTATAAATGAACTATATAGAATCTACATAGTTTATATATAAATTATATATGAATTATATATAAACTATACAATTTATATTTATATATTATGTATAATTATAAATAATATATATTGTATAAATTATATAGTTTATTAATATAAACTATATAGTTTATATATATATATATAGTATATATGGTTTAAGGTTTAAGGTTTAAGGTTTATGATTTAAGGTTAATTTATTGAATTATATATAAATTATATAGTTTATAGATAGTAGTATTTAAACTATATATAAACAATATAAACTAACTTATACTATATGTAAACTATATATACTATATAATTTACATATGAACTATATGTATAAACTATATAAACTACGTAAACTATATAGTTTACATATGACCTATATATATAGTTTATTAGTGAACTATATAAACTATTATATAGTATATACTATATATAATATATAAATTATAGTTTATATTTATATACTACATACTATAGTTTATATTTATATACTATATATATGAACTATAGTTTACATATGAACTATATATATAAACTATATAGTTTACATATGAACTATATATATAATATAGTTGATATTTATATATGAACTATAGTTTACATATAAACTATATAGTTTATATACTAACTATAGTTTACATATAAACTATAGTTGATATTTACATATGAACTATATTTTACATATGAACTATATATATAAACTATATAGTTTACATATGAACTATATATATACTATAGTTGATATTTATATATGAACTATAGTTTACATATAAACTATATAGTTTATATACTAACTATAGTTTACATATAAACTATAGTTGATATTTACATATGAACTATAGTTTACATATGAACTATATATATAAACTATAGTTTATATTTATATACTACATACTATATTTTATATATATAAACTATATATTATATATATAAACTATATATACTATATAGTATAATTTCCATATGAACTATATATAAAAACCATATAAACTATATACTATAGTTGATATTTATATACTATATAATATAATTTATACTATAGTATATATAAACTATAATATATATATAAACTATATATTATATAGTTCATTAGTATATATAAACTATATGGTATATATAAAACTATACATTATATAGTTTATTAGTATATATAAACTATATAATATATATAAACTATATGGTATATATAAATTATACATTATATATATTTCATTAGTATATATAAACTATATATTATATAGTTCATTAGTATATATAACCTATATAGTATATGGTATATACAAACTATATATTATATAGTGCATTAGTATATATAACCTATGTAGTATATGGTATATACAAACTATATATTATATAGTTCATTAGTATATATAAACTATATATTGAAAAGTTCATTAGTATATATAACCTATATATTAATTTATTAATATAAACATATATATTAATTGAAAGAATTGGAAAATATATAAGGATCAAATTGAATAAATTTTAAATATGAAGCTTAAATTAATAAACTGTAATAATAAATTTGGACTAAATTGAAAAAAAGTTGAAATATAAGCTTAAATTAATATATTGCATCATTAAATTTGGACTAAATTGAACAAATTTAAAACCAGGAGACCACACTACAATGCCAAACGAAGTTAAAAAACACGCGAGTCAAAACCCAAACGATCCCGTATAAAAGGCATTTTTTTAATTTTCTCCATTTTCCTCTCTTTTTCTCAGTTTGTTATTTTGCTATCTCTCTCTCTAACTCTTCGATTTTCTCAAAATCCTCTGCCTTGTCTCTAGAAATTCATCCGTGTTATTCATTTTTTCATCATAGTTCTTCCCTAAAACCCTCCTCTGATCTTCAAAAACCCAAACAATTTCATGTTTTTATATCAAACACCCAAATATTCATCCGTGTTCATCTGTGTTCTTCATTTGTTCATCCTAGTTCTTCCCCAAAACCCTCATTTGATCTTCGAAAACACCGAAACACAAGCCATTTCGTGTTGTTTTGGATCAAACACCCAAATATTCATCCATGTTCATCCTTGTTCATCCCAGTTCTTCTCCAAAACCCTCCTTTGATCTTCAAAAACACCGAAACCCAAACCATTTCATATTTTTTCGATCAAACACCCATAAATTCATCTATTGTTCATATGTGTTCTTCCCTAAATCCTTACAAACACCCAAAAATTAAAATCAACTTGTTTTTTTTCGATCAAACACCGAAACCCAAACTATTCATCTTTTTTAACCCCTAACCCTAAACCACTATTCATCTTCTCTAACCCTTAACCCGAACCCAAACCCGATCCCAAACCCAAACCCGAACCTGAACCAAAACCAGAACCGAAACCCAAACCCGAACCCACCCCGAACATAAACCCGAACCCCACCCCGAACCCAAACCTAAACCCCACCCCGAACCCAAACTCATACTCGAACCCAAACTATTCGAAACCTTTATTTTTTCCCACTGTTTCATGGATAGTTTGTTGTACGAGTATGTATTTCTCATTCTTTTTTTATTTTTATTTTAATATTCAAATTAATATATTTTTTATTTGTTTTGTAGGTATAAACCTATCAGATCAGAATGACGATCATTTTGAAAGAGGTAAACTGCCCATTCCTTTCTTTGTATATGCTTGATATATATATATATATACTGGTTTATTGTTGTTGATGTAAATGATATACTGTCAGAAACATTTAATGTAAACTAACTTTGGTTTTTTATTGCTGCTGATGTAAATGATATACTGTCAGAAGCATTTCATATAAACTAACCCTGGTTTTTTTATTGCTGTTGATGTAAATGATATACTGTCAGAAGCATTTAATGAAAACTAACCATGATTTTTTTTGCAAGGGGATGTAAATGATATACTGTCCAAAGCAATTGATTTAAATAAATCCTCTAAGAGGAAGTCCACTGGTTCATCCGACACCAAATCTGATGATGGTTCTGTTTATGCCGAACGTAAGTATTGTAAACTGAAAAAGGTATAAAGTTGATTCTTATATTGGTACATCATACCCTAAAAGGCATACTGAGAAATGCCAAGCATATAAGGATTTTCTTGCTGATAATCCTGGTAGTGTAGCTTCTTTTGATCAAAAAAAATACTGTGAATTGTTTACTGAGGCTATTTTGTGTCATGGTTATGCATATAGTATTGTTGAGCATGAAAAACTTAAGGATTTACATCATTACCTTAATTCTTCTATTAAGGATATATATAGGTATACTGTTACTAAGTATTGCATGTTGGAGCATGAAAAACATAAGAAATTGCTACTTGATTCAATGCATATTGTTTCAAGTCGTGTTTGTTTACATGTGTTGGTTGGTCTGCCTGTACTTCACGTTCTTATTTTGCTCTTACTGCTCATTATGTTGATAATAACTGGAAACTTCAGTCTAAAATTCTTAATTTTAGTCGTTTTCCTCCTCCTCATGATGGGGAGTCAATATTTAAGTTTGTTAAAAAAGATGATATGTGAGTGGGGTCTTGAAAAAAACATTTACCATTACACTTGATAATGCTTCTGCAAATGATAAAATGGTTAGGAGACTGAAAGATGATTTGAATGTCATTTCTCCTCTTCCATGCAATGGTAAATACTTCCAT